TCAACAGATTAAATAAAGAGAAGGGACTAAAGTGAATTTGTGATGAAAAACCACCCAACAGCAACAACAACAACAACAACAAGCTGTCACATAATTCACAATAAAACATTAAAAAAAAAAAAGCTCTGGGGCAAATGGCATCATTGAAGAATTCTACCAAACATTTAGAGAAGTGACATCAATCCTGCTTAAACTCTCCAAAAAGATAAGAGAAGGAAGAGATGCTCCCTAATTCATTTTATGAAGCAACTAGAACCTGGATACCAAAACAAGAAAAAGACACAACAAAACTGACTACATATCTTACAAATATAGATGTCAAACACTAGATCCAACAGGATCTTTAAAAGCCACACATCATGACCAAGTGAAATTTATTCCAGGATGCTAGGGTAGTTCAATATTAGAAAAATCAATAAACACAATACACTACCCTTCAGAGAACAAGGGAAAAGAACCACATGACTATCTCTATAATTGTAGCAATAAAACTTTGTTCATTTTGTCATTTTGTTGCTTTTTTTTTTTAATTAAAGATGAGCTATTACTGAAGTATCTGCAAATGAAGTAAAACATTTTGAATTTGCCTTAAAATAATTAAAGGGGAAGGAAGAGAATGAGAAGCGAAAGAGTGGAATGGGTAGAACAGATGAAGTAAGATTTGCCACATACACATTGAGTAGCTGAGCCTGGGGGCTCAGGACCATATTCTCAGGGGACACTGTGGTCAATTGCCATAATAGTCCACAAGGACAATGTTCTACATCCTACATTGGTGACCAGCATCTAGAATGAAAGGCTATCTAAGGGGCAGCTATCGGTCTCTCCATGTGCAGAAGAAGAGTGATGAGAATTGAATTGAAGATGTTTGGAATCAATTAGTCAAACAGACTAATAGAACACGTGAACATCAGTCTCCAGGGCTCTGAGACCACAAGAACTAAATGGTGCCTGACTACAACTACTAACTATTACTAACTGCTCTGAAGGTTCCAGGAAGAGCAGAAGTATGTAGAACAAAAGTCAAAATGATTTTTAAAAAAGACAAAACCGGGCTTACTGGACAGAAAGAGATGGGAAGAGCCTGAGACTATGGAGTTTGACCCCCCTTCAGGTCTGGAAAGGAATTCATCCTCGTGGTCCAACTTTGAGCCAAGCAGTAGATAGGTTGATAAGGGAAAACTACACCACTAGTTAAGATAAGCTCCCTAAGAGTGATGGAGCGGTCAGTCATTCAAAATCAAAGGGGCAACATGTACCTAAGGACAAAGATGAGAGAGGATGGGAAGATGGGAGGAATGGAGGTGGGAGCCACAGGGCGAATGCAGGATAACTGTTGTTCCATGGGGGAAACTGTAATCACTGAGATGAAACAAAGTACTACTTGTTGAATATAAAACTGATGATCTTGTCTGTATGCCTTCATTCAATTAATAAAAAGCTGTGTTTTTTAAAAAATTTGCCATATACAGGAGATGTTGCAGGTTCAGTTCCAGACTACTGCAATACAGCGATTATCACAATAAAGTGCACATCACAATTTTTGTTTCCCAGTGTATATAAAAGTTATATTTATACTGTTTTGTAGTCTGTTAAGTGTGCAAGAGCATTATGAAGTCTGAAATATTAAGAGAATTACCAAAATGTGACACAAGGCACACAGTAAGAACACAGGATTGAAAAATTGGCAGACAGACTTGCTCGATGCAGAGTTGCCACAAACCTTCAACTTTTAAAAATAACATAGCATCTGCAAAGTACACACAGAATGAAACAAGGTATGTCTGGACTGACAATTCTTAAAGCAATAGTGGATACATAGGTTTTTTTTTTTTATGAACCCTAGTAGCATAGTGGTTAAAGTGCTTAACTGCTAACCAAAACATCAGGTGTTCAAACCCACCAACCGCTACATGAAAGAAACATGTGGCGGTTGGTATCCATAAATATTTACAGTTTTGGAAACTGTGGGGCAGTTAATTCTACTCTGTCTTTTACAGCAGCTATAAATCAGAATAAACTTAATGGCAATGAGCTTGTATTTATTTGCTTTTTGTTTTTTTATAAAAGGATCTATTGTTGTTTTAGATATTGTGGTTGAAAGTTCTATAATAAGGTTTCTTTGTTTTCATTTATAATAATTAAGGTTTAGAATATTTAAGCAACTAAATCCTTTCCTAGGAGTCCTGGTGTGGCGCTGTGGGTTAATGCGTCAGACTACAAAGTTGTTTGAACTGCAAAGTCAGTAATTCAAAGCTCACAGCTGCTCCTTGGAAACCCTACACAGGGTCGCTATGGGTCGGAATCGACTGGACAGCACTTAACAACAACAAATCCTTCCCTACATTCTTATTCAGTTTGTAATCTAGCTTCTCAGTTCTCCTACCCTATCAAGTATCTTAATGGAAAATCACAATTATTATGCTTAATCATGACCTCACATCCTATGTTATGTTGCCTCTTCAAATTAGTCACAATTTTTTTAAAGCCACCATTATTTTTTAAAAGTGTTGTATGGTGTTTACAACAAAGAATTTTAACAGTGCCTAAAAACTAAACATGTATTTTCCATTCTCTATGAACGAGACATACATTTTAAAACTTAATACAAGGAGAATTCTTATAATAAAAGCTTGGACTTGGACAAGCCCTTTTCTATGATTTGACTCCACAGCAAAAAAAAAAAAAAAAGAAAGAAAGAAAAAAGATTAGAATGCACAGACACATGCAACTGGAAAGATTCTATAAAACTTAAGCTGGGTACTTGAACAGATTGTTGATAAAATATACCACAGGTTCTTGAATGCAACACCTGAACACGCCTGCAAGACTTCTGAGATCCAAGCAGATGTACAAAGCAATGTTGGTGACACTGTAGGATAAGCACTGGACTGTTAACCACAAAGTTGGTGGTCCAAACCCATCAGCCACTGTATGGGAAAAAATTAGGCTTTCTGCTCCCGTAGATTTACAGCCTGGGAAACCTTAAACAGGGTCGCTATGAGTCAATAACATTTTCTAACATTATTCCCTTCCAACTAAAAGTGATATTCTTGAGTATGTATTTATCTGTATTTCAGAATAAATTTTGGATTCTCAAATTCAGTTCAACAGTATCAGCTTCAGAACTACCACTTAGCTACATACATGAGACTAGTACCCTAATGTGTACAGAACACCATTTCCAGTTCCCACCAGCCAACTTTAAAATGGGAGTTTAGACACACATAAAGATACCATCAGCAAAGCTACATAAACAATTGCTTCCTGTTCTTAGGTGCTACCTACCAAGTGAGGTCCAAAAAGTTCGTGGAAAATGGAATTCAAAGATAATTTCCCCACAAACTGCCTGATGCCCCCTTGTACAACACAACACTGACCAGTGCTATACCAGCCTCACAATTATGTTCGAGCCCATAGTTGCAGCCACTGTGTCAATTGCTGCCTATGACTTCTTCATTACTTCTATGTTCCTAGAGGAGTCCTGGTGTGGCGCTGGACTGCAAAGTCAAACTGAACACAAGGTTGGTGGTTCAAACTCAGCAGTGCTCCTTAGAAACTCTATACAGGGTCACTATGAGTCGGAACCGACTCGATGGCACTTAACCCCTTTAGCTAAGCATTCATATCTATTGATATCCCCCTACAACTAACCTCTGTCTTTGTTTCCTTGGCCAACGTCACCATTTACCCTGCCATTATCCTCCTCCAACCTACCTTCTCTTACTGTGGATTAACTAACTGTTGGAGAGACAGTAAGATATGGCAGTAACAACACTAGATAAATGAAGAGGATTAACATTTGTTTGACACACAGTATGTGCTCAATAAACATACTAAAAATTCCATAAATGAATCTAGTTCCCATCAGCCAGTAGCTTACCTCAGATAAGTCACTTAACCTCTTTAAAAGCTAAAATTCATTTTAGCACAATAATTCTATGGCTCTCCATTTTGAGGAGCTGAGCTGTTTTTTAAATGAACAATTCTTTAGAAGAAATGTGGACTAAGCAGGAAGGACAGCCAAATCAGAATTAACCAAGAAGATCAACAGAATGACAATAACAGCTGGCTTCTCTTCTCATCCAAGAATGAGCCATTCAAAAAAGGAATAAGGCACAGCATTTTCACTCAAATTATGTAAGGATTAGTATTACTGGATGCACCTTATATTAAGCTCCCCAAAGGACAAATTACTCTCAAGAATTCAGTACTAGCTTAAGTTTTGTATTTATTTTTCTAAATATAGCATCTGTAAAAACTTTCCTATCACTATGACTGTCCAGAAGTTGTGAACTAAGGTTTGTTTGTCACTATAGTGGCTGAATTTGTCCTACTGTTGACATGGGCTTCTCTTGCCTTCTTTCATAGCTCCTCATTGCACATTTACCATTTATTATAAGTCTCAAACTTATTACAGAAGAACAGCAATATAAGTAATATACTTTTATGACAGCCAGATTTATAAATTCATATTTATAAAATACAATGAATTTTATGGATTAAAATTTAATACAAGTTGCTGTTAACCCAAAAAAGATTCTAAAATCATCTCAGTAAAGTTCAATTCTTCAATGATTCTACTCAATACTTCTTGAATCTTCTTGAACTAGTTCTGGGTAAGTTTATCACTCTTACACCTAATGTTCACTGTAAATGCTCATCTCATTTTCATGATGAATAGCCATCCAAACTCTACAGTAACAGAAATGTGTAACTAACACAAGAGAGGTGTTTCCTGGTGAAATCACAGACAGGGATTTTAATGAATGACTGTTTCCTGAAAAATAGTCCAGGACACTAATATCTAAGTTGTTTAAATAAAATTCCAAGCCCCAATTAGTTAAAGGTTTTTAAATTTCCTTTACAAAATTTTCAATAGACGCCAATCACAAGTAAAGAATGAAAATCCAAGACGTGTACTATTTTAGAATTTAAATCAGTTACTAAGTGACTACCATGAAACTATATGGATCATGATATAAGAAATAAAAACTTACCTGAAGTTATTAATTTAGCACAGCTACTTTTGCTTGCATCTCCTTCTAAGATACGGTTTGTGCTCTTTTCTTTTCCAACCAGCGTATCCTCCAAATGTAAGCATTTATCAGCTACAACACTGTCTTCACCCACCGGATGACTAAGTTTGCTATTAGCTTCAAGTAGAGAAGTAACATCTTCCAGCTGAGCAGCTTCACTAGATTCTGAATAAGAGGAACCTTTACCCTGGGCTAAATTCTTTGAAGATACTGGTAGAGACTCATCATCACTATCAAATCCAAAAGGATCCCCAGTACTTTCTTCTTCCACCTTAGGTTTCTTCGGGATTTCTTGTATATCTGGTTTGAAATTGGGCCTCTTCTGCCCTAATTTAGCCATAAATGTGGTCTCTCCCCATTTTGTGGTAAGGGTAGTCCGCTTGTTGGAAAACACTTCATCAAATTTTGAACTGCCATTTCCTCCCTTTCTACTATATGTTTTCCCAAATCTGGATGTCATTTTGACACCTGTTTCATATTCTCTGTAAAAGAAAAAAAAATATATATATATTATATACATAAAATCACCAAATAGTTAACATTGTCTATGAAATTAACAACCTAGGGATGCTTCCCATCTTATTTTTCAAATAGTTTTAAAAAAAATATGGGAAGGGGCTATAAAGAGGCTCATTTACATACTTTTAAAAATGTCAATTATTTTTTGTAATGAGTACATATTCATCATATATTACTTTCAAAGTAAAATAGGATAACTAGCCAATTTATAAGACAGCATCCACAAAATCAAATTATAGTGAAACTTCTAAGTTCTAAATGCACCATTTACTATCTGTTTAGACGCCATTTTTACCTTTAAAAAAGTATTCTGTATAAGGAAATTACCCTAATGTACGGTGAAATCTTAAAAATAAAAAAAGCTGATTTCTTCTCACCTCTCAGAAATGTTCAATAGTTGATTAAATGTAGGGTTCTTTTTGTTTTTTAAATTTCAGAGCATTTAATCATAAATAAAAAGGTCAGGATTTTGTGTTATTTTCTTATGTATTAAAGCCTACATCTTTTAATACAACCTTGAAGAATCTGATTCTTCGTCTAATGTAATTTGGACAGTGACTTGAAAATTATTCCTTAGACAGTCATGTGCCAAATACCATGTTGCTGTTGTTGTTATGTGCCGTGGAGTCGGGTCCGACTCATAGTGACCCTGTACAGGGTTTCCGAGGCTGTAAATCCTTACGGGAGCAGAAAGCCTCCTCTTTCTCCTGCGGAATAGCTGGTAGTTTCGAACTGCTGACCCTGAGGTTAGCAGCCTGATTTGTAATCACTACACTACCAGAACTCCGTAAAGAACATGAAACCATCCTTATTCTATCTTATTTGTCGCTGTAGTGTTTTTGCATTTCTGGGACTGCTGAAATCCAGTATACCACACTGTTCCAAGGATTATTAAACAAAGCAATAGAAACACATTATTTTTATTGTCCTATTAGCTTTGTTGTTGTTAGTGCCCTCGAGTAGGTTCTGACCCTATAGTGACCCTGTATAGATAGGGTTTCCAAGGAGCAGCTGGTGAGTTTGAACCACCAACCATGCAGTCCAGTGCTTTATTCCACGGTGCCATTTAACTTCCTAAGAGATAAATTCATTAATTTAATTAACCTAGTTTGGCCCTGAAGGATAAGCACTGGACTGCAAGGTCGCTTTGAACCACAAGGTCAATGCTTCAAATTCACAAGCCACTCCTTGGAAACCCTAAACAGGGTCTCTATGAGTCAGAACTGACTTGCCGCACTTAACTGGTATGGTGGTATAGGATAAGCACTGGACTGCTAACCTACAGGTCAGCAGTTCAAACCCACCAGCTGTTCCTTAGAAACCAAATACGGGGTCGCTATGAGTCTGAACCAACTCAACAGGGCACTCAACAATTTACCTACATAATAATAACATGCTGTAAAGAAGATATCCCCAAACCAAACCCACTGTCATTGAGTTGACTGTACGTCATACGACAGAGTAGACCCGCTCCATCAGGTTCTCAAGGCCGGAAATCTTTACGAAAGCAGACGGCCTCATTTTTCTTTCTAGGAGCTGCTGGTAGGCTTCAAACCATGGACTTTCGTTAACAGTCCAATACTTAACCCACTGTTCTGAAAGAAAATTTTCAAGGCAATATGAGTCAAAGATTTGTGAAAAACAAGTCACTTTATTTAAAAACAACTGTACTTATCCATTTCTTACACTTTGGGCTGCTGGATTTTAAATATCAACATAACTATGAAAAAAGTTAAGCAATTGCCTCCAAGCTTAAAATCTCCATTACACGGAAACTTCTAATAAATAATACAACAACTCCAATGACATTTGACCTACACAATAAATGCTTCCTAGTGATCCACTGTCCAACTTAGTTTTACATATATATTCAGTAGAAGAGTCCCACCTCCCATTTTTCGTAAGGAGTCCTGGTGGCGCTGTAGGATAAGCACTGGAGTGCTAACCACAAGGTCAGTGGTTCAAACCCGCCAACCGCTCCTTGGAAACCCTATACAGGGTCACTATTAGCGATAATCGACTTGACGGCTCTCAATAACAATAAATACTTGGTTATTAGTCAATTCTAATTTGATACAGCAATGATTAATTTGGTCACCATACATACCTATGTTGAGAAAATAGTTTGTAATTTGTCTGAAAACTTTTTAATATTTCATGGAACTTCTTAGGGAAGATTATTTCCCCTTGTATTGAAGATGTAAATACACAATATTGCTTTATCTTTCTTGTTACTTACATTCTAAACAAAGGTAAGCACACTGAGAAGCTACCCTGGGAAATAAATTAGTAATTTTGCAATTTTTTCAATAATGTAAAGCCCTAATCTGCAAACCTACATTTTCACCAACAAAGTTAGAATGTTATGGACACACGTATGCAGTAATCACCTAAAAATGCAAATTAAAGGCCAAACCAGAATTTAGACTTGTACTCCTTCAGGCCAACACAAGAAAAACACTACACACATGGTCTTTGAACTACAAAACATTCACTGTTGAATTTTTTTAATCTAGCAAGACCGTAGATGGATTTGGTTCTAAGGCATTGATAATTATTTTGTTACTGAGTGCAATGGAGTCAATTTCCACTCACAGCAACACTGTGGAGGGTTTGCAGGAGTAGCTAGCTAGTGGGTTTGTATCACCGACCTTGCCGTTAGCAGTCCAGTGCTGATCCTAGAACACCATACCCAGGACTATCGTATTAACATTGTTGGTGTGAAGTGCCGTCAAGTCAATTCCGACCCATGGCGACCCTGTATAAGGTTTTCTGAGGAGCAGCTGGTGAGCTTGAACCGCAGACCTTATAGTTCAAAGGGCTTTGCAGTCTGGCGCATTAACCCACAGCGCCACACCAGGACTCCCTAGTGATAATACTGTTGTTGTTGTTAAGTGCTGTTGAATCGATTCCGACCCACAGCTACCCTGTAGAGGGTTTCCGAGAAGCAGCTGGTAATATTAGGCATGTCATTCATCGGAGTCCTGGTGTGGCGCTGTAGGATAAGCACTGAACCGCAAAGTTGGTTTGAACCACAAGGTGGATTTGGCCCGAATGGTCAGCGGTTTAAGCACAGCAGCCACTCCTCAGGAACCCTACACAAGGTCGCTCGGAGTCAGAAATCGACTCAACAAAACTTAACAAAGCTATTCAAAAGGCCACATCTTTTAACTAGTAAATACTGAAATCGAAATGGATGAAATGCCATTTTTCTAACAAAAGGATTGTGGGGAGTCCTGGTGCTGCGCTGTAGTATGATAAACACTGGATCACAAGGTTGGAGGTTCAAATTCACGAGCTGCTCCTCGGAAACCCTATGCAGGCTCGCTGTGAGTCGGAACTAAGTGTGGGGAGTCATGGTGTGACCCTGGAAGGTAAACACTGAACTGGTAACCACAAGGTCAGCAGTTTCAAACCCTCAGGGGATCGTTGGAAACAGGGTCCCTAGGAGTTGGAATCAACTAGATGGCCCTTTGTAGATGAAACTAACCTAAGTGTCCGTGTGTTGCCTGAGAGCCAGGCGTGCAATAACCCTCCTTGCGTAACACCCCCTTAGCTTCTACTTCTTTTCAAAGTTTTTCAAGACAAAAAATTGGTGTTTTGGTGGGGTTTTTTTTTACAGTTAGTAAACAGACTACGTATAGTGGCATTACCCCCGTGTAAAGTTATGCATACAATCATAAGTTAGTCTGCAGACTACAATCTTCTCTTGTTCAGACTTCAAACTCCAAAGACCACCCTCAACTAAAAGAGAAAAAACGATTCCCAGCCAAGTTGGTTTTCGGGAGGGAGCCGGGCCTTTGCTTCAGCCCCAAGCCAGGTCGAATTTTCAGGGAAGTAATCTGCGACTGTCCTCCTACTCAAGTCCTTCCCAAATCTCCCGTCTGGGCCGAGGAACCCCGGAAAGTCGCCCCTGGAGGTGGACCAGGCGGAAGAAGGCAGTGGGTAAGGCGGCCCCCTCCGGCTGGAAGCTCCAGCAACTTTCCCTTCCCCACCCGACTGCCCAGGAAAAGGGATGTTGTTTCCGACGCCCCGGAAGCCTCTGCCACCCAGTCCCCGGGACACCGTAAAGGCCCCGGAGAAAAGGCCAGGAAAGGACTTCGGGCTGAAATCAACATACTAGGCCGGGGCTGGGGAGAGAAGTAAACCAGCAGCTGCCCGGAGAGAACTCAGAAAAAGACAGGGGGAGGAAAAACAGAGTTCTGTCGGCTGTTCCTCTGCCCAACTTCCTCAGAGACCCCGGAGATGAGGCAGCGAGACTTTCACCACCCCCGACGTTCCCCACCCTCGAGACCTCACTTACCCCCTCGGCGCCTGGCGGGGTGCTTTGGCCTCGGGCCGCCTCCGCCTCTCCCGCTCCCAGCGGCCCACGGGCGGGCGCGGGAGCCCCGCGCGGGAGAGCAGGGCCGGCCGGTACGCGAAGAGAGGAAGGGGGTGATGAAGGGAGTTCCGCCACAGTCAAAACCCGGGACTCCGATTTAGGTAAATAGGAAACCGGTGGGTGTGGAGGCGGCGACCCCGTAACTTCCCTCCCTGCCTTGACCGCCGCCGGTCGAGCCCGGGACTAGGCCTCCCTGACCGCCGCCGCTGGCACCGATACTGGAGCCTGCTACGTGCCCCCGCTGGGCCGCCGCCGCCTCCTGCGTCGCCGCTTCCGCCGGTGAATGGTCAGCGCTGGAGTTTGAACAGGGCCCTGAACCATCTCAACGCCATTTGCGCTCCCGGCCCCCACCTCCTTCCTCCAACAGCCGCTCGCTCCGTCACTCCGCTTCCCACAGGCCCCGCGCGGCCAGCCGACCCCGCAGCCAATGGCACGGCCGCTTACTCAAACCGCCGCGCAGGCGCCGCGTCACGCATGCTCCGGGGCCCGCCATTGGCTCGGCCGCGGGGCCCGACGGGAGTTGTAGTCTTTATCCGCGATATCGTTGTGTTGTTAGCAGAACCCCGAGCTGGATCGGGCTGTGGAATGGTCACCGATGGCCTGGCCATCCAGGGCTCGGGAGCTACGTCCAGTTCCCGGTCCCGCTGGGAGACGCAGGTGCCACGGGGGAAGGCCGGAGATGCAGTGCAGGCAGCTGTGTCAATCGTTTCCCCTCCAGGGACCCGCCGGTGTCTGGGGACAGTGGGTTGTGCAGCTGCGCCGGGCCTGCTGAGGCCAGCGCCCGGGAGTAGGGAGGCGGGGAGCTCGCGGCTCCGAGCAGCCTTCGACCCGGCCTTGCTGGTGCGGGCTCGGCGCAGGTAACTACGGCGCGGCGGGAATCTGGGAGTCCTGGGGCGCTGGACACCAAACGGCCGAGGTCGGGAGCGGCGTGTCAACCTTGGCGCTTACTTAAGGCTCCCCTCCAGCCCCTCTAAACCTTACTCGTAATTCTCCGTCTGTTCCACTCCCGTGAAAAAATGACCCCGTGATTATTGGATGGTATTAAGGAACCATCTTTGCATGCGATAACGATAATTGGGGGAGGGGGGAGTCTATTTAGATAACACATACTAAACCTTTGATGGGTAAAATGATCTGGGATCTGGGTTTTACTGTTTTTAACACTCCTTAACGAAAAACATTTTTTAAAAAAACAGACGGAGGGAAATGAAACCCAGAACGGGGTATGTTCTTCATTGTTGAAGTTGCGTGATCCTTATATCAATCTCTCTAATTGTATTTCTTGATTTTCCTTTAATAAAAAGTTTGAAGACATGAACCAGTGATTACCTCTGGGGAAACGGGGAATGACGAGACAAAGAACTATTTCTTTTTCCGTGTGCATCCTTTTGTGCTGTTTGAGGGTTTTTTTCTGAGTCACTATTACCTATTCAGAACACTGGAAAGTTATTTTTTGAAAGGCCACAATGGGAAAACATGATTCCAAAGAGTATAGTGTTGGCTCCTGCTAATGAAGGTGCATGACTCATCCGACTGGGACGACCCTGCTGTTTGGAACGCTGTTAATGGAGACCCACTTGGGATATTAGGAAGATACTACTGTAATTGCTTCCAGCAAAAAGCCCTCCCTTCTACCACAAATGGATAATTTGCTTTCAATGCACCTAGAAGTTACCTAGCTCCCTCCAGTATATTGGGCAAATTCTGAATTTAAAAAAAAAAAGTCTTTCCAAATAGGAATATAAGGCGGATTTTAGCATGATTCGGTTGTTTTACTATGGTGTGACTGCTTGCAAAATTGGTATTTTGACATTTACAGTTTTCCCTAGTTGGTATGTCAGTATTTTCTCTAAGAGAAACCAATTCTTCTGTAGTTTATGTGAATAGTTCCCCATGACTTTCGTTTGGATCCGTTTTGTATTGTTTGTTTTTTTTAATCGCTGTCGAATCTTGTTTTATCAGTTTCTTTGAGGATTTGCTTGCACTTATATTCATATGACACGGTTGTGGTGACAGTTGTGAATAGGTGCCATCCAGTAGTTTCGCACTCATGGTAATCCCTTGTACAACAGACCGAAACACACACACCCCATCCCCCTCCTAAGTGGCTGACACAGTTGAGGGTGCTAATTAGGGCGTAATTATCATCAGAGGCAAAAGCTAAGATCAAAAAGCCCAAAGTGGCCAGAGAAATTGCAAGGTTTTCGGGTAGAAAAATGCTGTGAACCCTGACACCAAAGGAAGTATTCATTATACTGTAGCCTTGCTAGATTAGTGATTAAAATACACTAAAGTGGAAGAGTTCATATATATATATTTTTAAAACTAAGTAGTCTTTCGAGCTATTGTGACTCTATCAACCAAATAAGATTCTCACCAGAGCCATTTGTGTAATGGTTGTTTTAATAATGGAATTTACCCCAAATCCCCGCTGCCATTGAGTCAATTTCAATGAGTCAATTTCAACTCGAACAATAGGGTTTCCCAGACTCTAGATATTTACAGAGCAGGCTCATCTTTCTCCCAAGGAATGGTTGGTGAATTTGAACACCAACCTTGTGGTTAGCAACCCAACCCCTAGCGTCACCAGGGCTTCATATGTTGCTAGTTCCTTCAAGTCGATTCCAATTCGTAGCCACCCTGTACAGAAGGGTGGAGAACCATTTTTCTGCCAAAAATTATAACATCATTTGCAGGCCATAGAAAATGACCACCTTAAAAATTATTAGCCTGCTGTATATTTGGTCAAACATTCAATTAACTCAACCTAATGTGGTTGAGAATCGGACTGCTAGTTTTAAGGTAAGCAGTTCAAAACTACCAGCCGTTCTGCAGGAGAAAGATACAGGGTCTCTAGGAGTTGGAACGGACTCCATGGCACATTGTTGTTGTTGTTAAGTGCCGTCGAGTTGGTTCCGACCCACAGCGACCCTGAACAGGATTTCCTAGGCTGTAAATCTTTATGGGAGCAGAAAGCCTCATCTTTCTCCCGTGGAGCAGCTGGTAGTTTTGAACCGCTGAGCTTGCGGTTCGCAGCCCAATTCGTAACCACTATGCTACCAGAGCGCCTTATAACCACCACTAATGAGGTTGCCTTGGCAGGGCCAGATCAAATGACTTCACAGGCTGTATAATATCGTCAGCTCAAACTCACCAGCTATTCCTTGGAAACCCTATACTAACTAGGTCACTGTAAGTCACAACCTACTCAATGGCACTTAACGAATAGTCCAAGGGCAGGACATGCCCTCCCTCTGCTGTACAGGGTTTCCAAGGAGCAGCTGGTGGGTTTGAACCATGGACTTTAAGGTTCGCGATCCAGTGCCTATCCTACAGCACCACACCGGAAGTCCTGTTAATAAATTCTTGCCACTCAGTGGTCCTTCGTCAACAGTAGAAGCGTAACCTGGAACCTTGTTGGAAAGGCAGATTACGTGTCCCAGTCCCAAGTCCACGGGATCAAAAGGCACAACTGTAACCCCCATGTTTCATGTATGTTCCTTGCATGACAGTTTGATAAGCACAGAACTTTTAAGTATACTAGCCTTTGACCCCCAATCTAATATTTTTTCTTAGAATGAGGTGGCGAAAGGTAAACATTAAGAGCCTACTGTGTTTCAGAGATGCTAGAGGAATGGAAGAATTGGCATTTGTCGGTAGAATTACAACTAATGAAGAAATCAAAAGTACTTAACTCCTGGACGGACACTCATTACGTGTAGATAATTTTGCATGTGGTAGAAAGTGGTATGTGATTAACAAAGTAAAAAATGATATGTGTGTATGTATGTGTTTAATCTATGGAGGTTGATTGTTAAGGGCTGCCAAGGCTGCTCCCTATCTGTAACAGAACCAAACTTTGTCCAGTCCTGCACCATGACGTTTGTGCTCACAGTTGCAGTTAATTGTCAATCCATTTTACCGAGGCTCTTCCCTTTTTCACTGATTCCCTACATAGTACCTGACTATTGAATAGAGCTGTGTCCTGGTGTGGCGCTGTGGGTTATTGCACTGCACTGCAAAGTCGGTTTGAACTGCAAGGTCGGTGGTTCAAGCTCACCAGCTGCTCCTAGGAAACCCTATGCAGGGTCACTATGGGTCAGAACCAACTCGATGGCACTTAACAACAACAACAAGGGCATTCTACCCTTAGGTGCCCCAAACCAAAGACAGGTGGAGGGCACTCCCCTGGAGGAAGTTCAGACTCTCCTGGGCCTCAGTCTATACCCCCACCTTGGACTCCACAGAGTGTAGTTTTCTTTAATTTAGTGGTTTGAGGGGGTGTCTTTACTCCCTTTTATCTTCTGGATTCCACTGCGGCAGGCAAATTTTTTTTTTTTTTTTTTTAAGTTTTTACTGTGAATTAAGTGATAGTTTACATGGGGGAACATCAGTTTTACACTCATCCTATCGTATTCATTTCATTGCAATGATTACAATCCCTTGCATGCTTCATCATTCAACAGTATTTGTTTCTATTCCCTCTGTTTTGTTTTTTGGGGGGTTTTTTTTGGATGTGCACCAAAACACTCAGGAATATACAATCATTCAAACAGCCAAAGGGGCACACCCTGCAAGCCTGCCCCCCGGCCGCCAGCACACATCCCCTCTCCCTCCATGGGTCTAGAGTCCTCAACTGCTCTATCTCTCCATGTCCTCCTCTCAGCTTCCATCTCTGGTGTTGCTGCTTCTCTGGATAGGGTCCCCACACCCCTCCTGCTCTTCTCCCTTGACGGTCCCAAGGTCAGGCAAATACTTTTGAAGGTCTCATCCCTTTGCCATGACTTTCGAGTTCTACCTTATTTTAGTTCATGATTCATACACCTCCAACCCCCATCCTACATCCTTAGAATGGTTCGCAATCTGCTGTACACTCCATAGGTAGCTAGAATAGAATGCCTCTACATGTAAAGATTTACAGCCTCGGAAACCCTGTACAGGGTCGCTATTAACCACATGTACACTCTGAAGTCTCTGGGTGATAAAGATAGTTAAACAGACGTAGTTGCTAACCAGAAAATAGATGGTTTGAATTCACCCTGAAGTGCGTTGGAAGAAAGACCTGCCTATCTGCTTTTGAAAAATCAAATCATGAAAGCCCTGCGGAACACAGATGTACTCTGGCACACTTGGACTCAACAGGAATTGATGGCAACTCTTTGTTGTTGTTTTATGCAAGTGGATTTTTTAAAAATAAATTATGTATTTTATTTTTTGCTCAAAATGGAAAATACTGAGCTATGCCAAGTTGTTTGTATTCTTTGAGGCTAAAAGATGCTTTCCTGTGTGCTGCCTGAAGGAGGGCAGAACCCACTACCTTGAGCTTCACATGGGTGGGCTCGTATTTTCTC